AGCTACAAGATTGTGTCACTGACTCGCTTCCTATAGAAAACACGCTTTCCAAAGGTATTCACCTGTGGCGGAATGGAATCACGTGACATATTATCTATTCTTAGCAGGTCAACAAGAGGTTAATCCTATGTAAATATACTCACCGAACAGATTCAAAATCATGATACTTTTAAGTAGAAGACATAGAGCGCAATGTTGTTCAACAAAGATATTTTCACACAATCTGTATAAATATAATATACACATTATATTTTGATGTCGACTTTGAACAAATCTGCGCTCGATGTTTACGAAAGCTCTGAAGTGGGTACCTGTCACATATTTCTTTTGATATTCATGAAAATCAAAGGACCCCACCTTCAAAACACAGGTTCGCGTGTTCTTTTTTGCAATTATTTGAAATTTTTAAACGTTGGACCATATACTACAGACATAAGAGATCAATGTAATTTACTTTTTAAGCTTTTTAATGAAAGTTTAAAATTTGACGAGTAACCGGGGACCACAGATAATGGCTTATTGAGACTTCTTCTTTAAAACCTACTGTAAGAGCATATAAAGGTACATGTATTTGTTTACACTTTTTTCTAAGAAACTGCCTTCTTTCAACGCAATTTGGTAGATAACCAGCACATTTATTTACCAACCAAAAAGAATAACTTTTATTTTACAGAGTGTGACATTGGATATGAAGGATACAGTTGCACTAATATCTGTCCATATCCAACATATGGAATTGCATGTCAGGAGATATGTGACTGTAACAAATCCAAGTGTGACTATCGCTATGGGTGCAAGATCATTGCCGTAACAGGTACACATAAAAAATTTCACGAAATTTTTAGAGCTAGGGACGCTTACTCTCGCGCCCCTCTATAATTTAACACCCAACGTTTGTTAATATAATTTACATTTTGACAATTGATAATTATTTAGATGGAAAAAATAGGTGATTAGCTTGTCGCTTGATGTCCCTCTCGAGAAGTTTTTACTCATATGGAAACAAAACAACTTAAGGGTTTTGTAAAAAGCTCCCACGCGGGCGACTAATTTATAAGTAATTTATTTATCATTATAAAAAATTCAAAAATTAAATGATTTTTTTGCAAGAACTTATTTTATAAAGGAGGGGAATCTATCCATTGAAGTTATGCTTTATTTAACATTATACCATCATCTTGTAATATAATAGATATACAGTACCGACCAGACCCAACCTGACACCCAAGCAGTCCCAGAAAGCAGTCCCTGGGACTGCTTTGGGACCGCTCTGGGACCGCTGTGGGACTGCTTTGGGACCGCTGTGGGACTGCTCCGGGACCGCTATGGGACTGCTCTGAAAAGCAGACCTAGCAGACCTAGCAGACCCAGCTGTCCCAGCTGTCCCTGGGACTGCTTTTTTGGGACTGCTTTGTTCACTCATGTGTGAAAGAGGTTCTGAGTGACATGATAGCTCCGCCCCCTTGTGTATTCTGAGTTGTTTTGTTTATAGCAGCAGAGAGTTTAAACTATTACTAAAGCAAGGATTTCCAGTCTTTTGATAAGAGATTTTATAGTTCATTAATATTTTCATAGACTGCAAATTTAGTTTGGAATATTTTTTTTAAATAAAGTTGTTCAATAAGAGAGGAGTTAAACTATTAAAAAAATATCTAAACTATTTTTAATTTAATCTAAAATTATGTGCACTCAAAATTTTTAATTGGACTATCTAAAAATAATCATTACAGTTAGATATAAGATTTTTAATTGAAAAGCTACATGTTTTATGAGTACCATGCTAAAAAAAGTATTCCATGCAACCTCCAAATAAGGTTTAACAATTTATTAAATGACCATGAAATAAAATTATGTTACCATTCTTTCGTAACTTAAACAATGTACATGTGAAACAATGTAAATAATCATTGGGGAATTTATCACTGAATTACCGGTAGTTTTTAATTTATAAACAAATTATCAAAAGGGTACATTTATTTTATAAATAAACAGTTGAAAATACCGGGAATTGTGATTTATTTCTTTTTTGTTTTGCTTGTGTTTACCTGGCCGATTAATGTTTATAAAATGGTATCAACACCCGCGGTTTCAATCGCCTTAGGGCAGATAATCAGAGCATGTTATTTGGGTATATGTATTTGCGTTTCACATCATTGAACATGCTGGTCAACAATGACCCTAATTTCAATCTACTTGTATGTAATGCACAAATAAAATTGATAAATGAAATGTGTATGATTTCTCTCAGGATTAATAATTTTGAACATAATCTGAGGGATCCATTCTGGGGATTTACAGATGCACATTCTAACATTTACAAATAAAACACTGAAAACTGAGTATTTTAAAGATAGAGAAATTAGCAATAATCAAATTGACATGTAAGTAAAAATAATCATGACTGAAAAATAATACTTGGCAAAATTTTACGAAGAATTTTCTAAAAGCCCCTATACTTAAGAAAATTCCTTTTGAATATCCCGATAGTATGGAAATTGGCCATATAACGATAAGATCTATTTAAAACTAATTCTTACTGGTGGAAAATAATTAATTCACGTTTAATTTTCTGTATAAAAAATAAATACCGGTATAGGAAACAGTATCAATCGCAGAAAATTAAAAAATTGAATTATTAATGTACCCGATAATTGTAATTAAATATTCATGTTCATTTTAATTCATACATGCACATGTGAAAGCCTTCTTCCTTCAATAAATATTATTTCAATTTGTTTCTATGCGCGTACTATTCATAAATGACCGCATACATTTAAGGGGTCCTGGCATACTACCCAGAATCAATTTCTACTGCCTTTTATAGTTCCATTGTTTATTGCAAATCTCATTTCTGAGTTAGCTCCGCCCATTAAATTAATAAACCCCGCCCACTGGGACTGCTTTCTGGGACTGCTGGGACTGCTCTCTGGGACCTGGGACTGCTGGGACTGGGACTGCTGTGGGACTGCTCTGGGACCGCTGTGGGACTGCTCTGGGACTGCTGTGGGTTACGGCAAAAAAGATGGGACCAATTCTTATAAAAAACGTAACATTCTTATAAAACAAAAACACAATCATACATTATAAAAACACACAGCATGCTTGACAAATCCAAAGGAGACTAGAATAGTAAATGTATAAAACCTTATAAAACAGGTGGAAGATAGGGGGATGGGGAGGTGGGCCAAAAAATTTCTGCACATTAAAAAACAATGGCTACATTGGTTCAGTAAACAAAAATCACGTGATCAATATGAAGATAGATTACAAAACCATCATGGGAAAAAATTGTTATTCCAGAAAAAATTGGAAAATTTTTTAACAGTTATCGAGATGCTATAAATTACTTAATGTTTTCACATAAATACAACTATACCATCATCTTCTAATATAATAGATATACATTTTTAGCCATGAGTCTATTCTGCTCTGATTTTTGCCAAACGGATAACATAACACATAGTTTGTCAAAAAAGAGCATTTATTATTGAAAATGCCAAAAATTATTTTACGTACATATGATACACGTAAAAATCTTAGGCACAAAATAGACAGTAAATCTCATGTAAAAAATATTTCATTACATGTATACAAAGATAAATGTGCCTAAGATATACACAGTACAAATACTGACATTAAAATAACAAATGTATTGCCCATTGGACTAGTTACGGCAAAAAAGATGGGACTAATTCTTATAAAAAACGCCATTAACTTGTTGTCAATTGACCACAAAGTGGCCCATCCAGAAGAGAGGAATGGAAAGAAGGTAATCAAGTCCCATAACTGTAGTAATTAATATATGTACTTTCCAAATAGACAATATGGCATTATTGAAGAAGAACTACGATGTACTTGTTTATGTATCTCTATTGTAATATGAATATACACGATTCACATCCTTAACCGCAGTTCGTTCGAAATGAGTATAGCATTTTTGAAAAACAAATCAGTATATATCAAGAATCGATAACCACATTTGTGTAAAAATACAAAGCACTAAATCAGCTATATTTACATATCCACTCCTGTTTAAAAACCAAATCCAATTCTAATAAGTTTTCTAACATTGCTACTTAAACAATGACATACAATGATATCAACGATGTAACTTATACACATATATTTAGTTCCTCAACAAATATGACTCAGGTTTGGCACTGACAAATGAAAAATAAATGAAACCTTATGTATTTACAAATGCCGCCTCAGACAGTCATTTGAAAAATATATTTAGTTCTTCAACAAATATGACTCAGGTTTGGCACTGACAAATGAAAAATAAATGAAACCTTATGTATTTACAAATGCCGCCTCAGACAGTCATTTGAAAAATATATTTAGTTCTTCAACAAATATGACTCAGGTTTGGCACTGACAAATGAAAAATAAATGAAACCTTATGTATTTACAAATGCCACCTCAGACAGTCATTTGAAAAACATGTAAAGTTACCTGGAAATCATAATGAACAATAGAACTTGAAAAATTTTTGAAATGCTGCCTCAGACAGTCACAAATATGTAATGTTACATAGAACCATAGATACATCATGTAGAAAACAAAAGAACTCAAGGTATTCTCAAATGCCACCTCAGACAGTCATTTGCAAACATGTAATGTTAAAAAACTAGGGGTATTGGGTAATGGCCACCTTAAAAAATTGCTCACCCAGCAGCTGCCTCAGACAGTCTGCCTAAGAGAATACAAAAATTGTCAACACACTCCTAAATCAACTGCTTTTAGAATCCAAGCTAGTTCCGTTTATGCAATTTTTCATTTACGTTATATCATAATCAGCTGCCTCAGACAGTCCAATTATAAAGCAAAAGCCAATTGTACCATAACAAAGTCAACATATTAACTTTCTACAATATGAATCACACACAGTTAACGGGTGAAATTTGACTGATAAATATTTCTGCATAGCTTTTACTGGACATATACTTTTACAAGTCTGAGCTGCTATTTGCAAAGACACAGAGTCATGATGCTTGAAATGTCTGAGTGTTAATGTCATAGATTTAGTTCCCCCTCTTACTGAATCAATAGACAAATTTTGAAGTAGAACAAGATTTCTATTTGAATTCTTCTGAGATTTCACAGTTACTTCACCTACCCGCAGGAATGCAAAGAAACAGAGAATGTAAACATGGCTGTCAGAAGGCGTCTGTTAAATTTCCCAGACACTGTGTGTTTAAGCGCATGTACTATCTTGACAAGAATATGAGGAGTTATTGGTAAACGGATATCTGGTGCATTGGATAAATGCTGAGCTCCTTTAAGGAGCTTCTTGATGACAAAAAACTGAGTTGGGTCAGAAAGGCCATGTATTTTGTGATAGTATGAAATACCTGCAATGTAGGTATTTATCGTATTGTAGGATTTTTTGTTGTTGGTATAACCATGCTATAAAAGACATAATGTGATTTAACTGAGCTGGAAATGTTGGACTTGAACTGAAATTTTTCCAAAAGAATTTATGATAAGCATTTAAAGCAACCTCGTATGACACCTGGGTATTTTTTGACATTGCAGCATCAAGTAGTTTTGATGTCGATTTTACTAAATGCGTAGGTACTCCTGAGGGATGTTGACTGGGCACTTGTCCATGTAAGGTGCCAACTCCTTGAATTTTTCTACCTGCAAACGCGAAAGTGAGTCTGATAAAATGTTATCTTTTCCAGGAATATTCTGAGATCTGAATAAAATATTAAATCTCAAGCAAGCTAGAACCAGTCTTCTGACTAAGGACATAACTGATGGTTCTTTTGAAGAAAGTCTATTAATAATGTTGACTACTGCCATATTATCTGAATGAAACAATATAGAACAGTTAGCCAAGGTTTCTCTCCAGATTTCAATGGCAACAACAATTGGAAAAAGTTCCTTGAATGTTATATTGCGATCTTGAAGGTTTATGTTCTCCCAACTTCCAAAAAACCATTTTTTACCTAAGATAGCCCCGTAACCTAAGCTTCCTGCTGCATCGGTATACAGATGAAGTTTTAGGGAATTTTGCCATTAATCGTCTAGAAAGATTGACTTGCCATTAAAATTGTCTATGAAAGTTTCCCAAGCTAACAAATCCAACCTTCCTTGCTTATTTAGACGAATCCTATGATGGGGCTTTTTTTTTACACCTACTGTTAAATTGATGAGACGACGCAAAAATGCACGCCCCGGTACTACAACACAGCAAGCAAAATTTAACAGCCCAATCAAAGATTGAACTTCGCGAAGTTTCATCTTTTTGCGATTTTTGGCTAGTTTAACTGCCTCGCGGATTTTTTGGACTTTATCTTGGGGTAATCTAGCTTCCCACCTCACTGTATCTAGTTGTATTCCCAAGAAAACTATCTCTGTAGAAGGGCCCTCATTTTTTTCTGATTTAATTGGAACCCCCAACACTTCACACAAAGATATAAACTGTTGTAATGCTAGACCGCATATTGAAGAGTCCCTGGGCCCTATAAATAAGAAATCATCTAATATATGCAACATATTAGGGACTCCAAACTTGTTGCAAGCTATCCACTGCAATGCTGTACTGAAAGTTTCAAAAATGGAGCATGATATTGAGCAACCCATGGGAAGACATTTATCAAAATAAAATTTATTTTGAAACTGAATACCTAGTAACTCATGGTCTAGTGAGTGAACAGGTATTATCCGAAAAGCAGAAGCAATGTCAGTTTTTGCTAGAAGGCAATCACGACCGATCTGTCTTATCAATTTGATAGCATCATCGATTGTTGTATAGGAAACAGAGCATAATTCGTCAGGTATAAAGTCGTTAACTGAATGCCCGTCAGGAAATGACAAATGCTGAATCATTCTAAAATCATTAGCTTCTTTTTTGGGAACCAGACCTATTGGTGAACACTGAATATAAGCAAAAGGAGGAGCGTCAAATGGGCCAGCTATTCTGCCAAGTGAAATTTCCTTGTTTAATTTTTCTAATGTTATATTTGGAAGAGTTTTGGCTGATAGCAAATTGGAAGAAAAGCGTGGTTGCCTTGGACCCTCATAACCTAATCTAAATCCTTTTTCAAAACCTTAACATAAGAATTCTTTCAAATTTTGATGATACCCTTCTAATAGCTGTTTCAAAATAGTTGTCCGAACTGGAGTAACAACAGAACTTTTGTTTGCAGGGGTAGATGATGAGTTTGAACTTGAAGGGAAGGTTGATGAGCTGCTGTTTGTGGCTGACTTATTACCTCTTGGGCATTGAACGACTGAGTGACTTTTCTTACACTGGTAACATGTGTGTTTGTATTGACAGTTGTTCTGATAGCATTTTTTATTCCTGTGAAATGCATAGCAGAACCCAGGTGGTGTTTTCCTACTTTTGTGGGGCCCCCCTTTCTTTGAAAGTTTTTGCCTCGAAAATTGTTTTGGAAATTCTGATGAAAATTTCGAGATGTGGTGGCCATAACCCAATATTCATAATGTAACTGTCCCCAAGGGATAGACCTCGCCTCAATGTCTTTACGTACTTGTTTGTCATATGTCATCCATGACAATCCAGCATGCCTATTTGCCAATTCTCTGACAATTTCTTGATGTTTAATAACTGATGCAGACTGTTTTGGAAATTTTTCTGAATAGATTGCCAGAAATTTGAGGAAAGCTTTTGGCCATTGATCTATGGACTTAATAACAGTTTTTGATTTTGCTGAAAGTAATTTTAATTCAGAATTGCCTGTACTTTTAATTTTAACAGACCTGTCTGAGGCGACATCATCCCTTGGCAAAAGTTTACTAAAGTCAATATATTTATTTTGCTATATTTTGTTCTTAATTTTTGATTCAATTTGTGCGGATATGGGCGTTGATAGTAAATAACTTTCATCGTTATCAGACTCCTCCGATGAGGAATCATCATTACTTGTATTTGCACCTGGGGAACTTTCATCACTAGATTCATCTGAATCAGAGTTAGTACCTGAAGAGGAATTAGATCTGTCAGGTGACGCCATTCTTCTCCTCTTTTTCTTTTGCTCTCTGTGCCTTTTCCTGCCTCTAGAACCATTTTCCATCTCTTGTTGGGTTTTCTGATTGTTCTTGAGTGCTTCCAGGACTTTGTCGGTCACCGCCGCCACCAGTTGGTCCTGAACAGACGTTTCGGTCGGTTCCGCAGCCTGTTCTGCTGACCCTGCTGCCGCTGGCTTCTTCTGAGTCCGCCTCCCTCTTGGTTGGCGTCTGAGCTCGCTCATCTGCAATTGGTTATCAAAATGATATTTATAAATAAAATATATTTTATTCTTAACCACAGCTCTGGTTGATAAATTAGGCTTCATTAGTAAATACTGTATTTATCAAACGCATGTATTGTGCCACAATAACTTCATTGACTAAAAAAACATAGCATTAATGTGTAAAAATTATTATGTATAAGTACTTTCATCATGCAATACATGCATGTATCTAAATTCACTTAGAATCTTCATTTTAGTTCATTTCAATGAACATATTCACTGTGGACTTGATAAAATTACTTATCAAAAGCAATTATAAACAGGAATGCCATAAATAAGCACTCAAAATTTTAAACTTGCCTACCAACCATATAGGTGCATATAACTTTTGTAACCTTTATCCCCAACCATATAGGGGTAAACAATTTTCATCGCAAGTTACACATGATAAAACATTCGGGCCCCAACCATATAGGAGCCCAAGAAAAATATGTGCCATTAAAACTTCAGCATTGTTTGTGATTGCATAATTTTAATCACCCGTAGTCTTATTACACACATTAGTTGTAACAATCCAACGTGAATCACAAATAATTTAATCTATGAAAATCATCCTGATGATAAATAAAATAGAGGAAGAAACCCCAACCATATAGGAGCATGGATATGAACAGAAAACCCCAACCGTATAGGGGCATAATTATAACTTAGCTGTAACCTAACTGAGAAACTCAGCATATCTCTTAAGGCACATATTCATATACTTCAACCAACATAAAAGATACTGCCCTATCTATAGAGCATATGTTATTAAGTCCCCAACCATATAGGGGCATAATCATAAACCTGTATTCAGAATTAGGCAACAACGCATAACCCCACGATACATACATGTATTACTGAACATTTATTGAGAAGCCCCAAAGATAAAGGGGCAGATTTTATAAACCCACATTATATATAGACATAATAATAACTTACAATTACTATAAAGAAATCGAGCATGATCATTTATGTACTGTGCCATATGATTATGAAATATTCAGAGTTAGAAAATATGTCCCAACCATATAGGGACACATATTATAAAGCAGGTGCAAGAAGCACAAGCATAATCCTTGAAAAAATTGTGGTGGGGGAATATCAAATACAAACTCCAAACAGTTAGCCAGGATATCTTGAAAACCCCAACCATATAGGGGTAAGATAATATGTTGTTCATATCCAAAAAACATCCGGTAGAATAGTGTAAAACAATTAATTAATAATTATATAGTGTAAAACAATTAATTAATAATTATATAAAAACAAAAACCCCAACCATATAGGGGTATGAACAAATAGGACATATCTAACGGATGCATTACACCTATATATGGTGATATTAATCGTCTTAAGATAAAACCGTGAATATATATAATAAATGTATAGCAAATAAAGACCAATGGATTATTAATATGATTAAAAAACCTAACCCCAAGCATATAGGGGTAAGATTATTGTAATTCACCACGACCTATTTACCCCAACCATATAGGGGAACAACAATTCAAAGTTTTGGGCCTTTACTTTAATGAGACAATATTGTAAGCCCTGTAATGAACAGCAATAGAAAGCTTTTTATGTTGTTTACAAGTATATTCAAAGATGTATTTAGCTCTACCTTTGAGAGATTTTGAAACACAATTTAAACCATAGGCCCAACTGACCAAATTGGACTGCCATGTGTATTTAATTATCCGCCCGTGTTTCAATACAAAATGAATACCCACCATATGTTATGGTTTTAATTGAAGAAACTACTGCTGCTCGCAAATTATTATAATATTTCTTTATTCCTTGCGAATTCAAGTGAACACCATCATTAGAAAACACCATGTCCTGACTTGCAGGGGACCAGAAACCTGATAAACGGGAAAATTTTGATCCATCCACATTACATAAATAGGATGGTAATCTCAGAATTAAGTTCATCCACTCTGTCATTGAACCAATTAGTATCCACTTCATAGCGTATGCAGTAAGTGGGGGTCTTCTGTGTAAAGTTTGTTGAGAAATACAACATGTTTCACTGATTCTGCATAACGAAGGGATAAAGTCAATCAATTGTTTGAAGACATCTGCTACTGATTTCGTAGGATCGCAGAGGTCATTTGATACGGCTTGCAGTACCACCACATCTGGATGAATCAGTCTTACATAACGCAGACCTTCCCCCCTTAATCTTTCCACTATGTCACTCCTCTAAATCCTTGCATAAGAAACGTGAACACCGGAACTTAAGTTCAAATTTTTTTTCACACCGATTATCCGTAGAATTACTTACAAAATCTTCCATTCTACTGACAAATGAATGTCCTAACACTATCAGTTTCATAACCATGATGAGGGCGAGTTACGTAATCGTTTGTACGCAGCCACAACTTCTACAAACAACGTTCTTTCCATTAAAGAAAATTAAGGAGAATGTACGGTGCACCGTCAAATGCTAGCAATTGTCTTGCATAAGAATTTTAGACACAAAGCAAGGAAAGTATCATACAAATCCAAAAAATTTCTGCACATTAAAAAACAATGGCTACATTGGTTCAGTAAACAAATATCACGTGATCAATATGAAGAAATAATTACAAAACGTATAAATGGGAAAAATTGTTATTCCGGAAAAAATTGGAAAATTTTTTAACAGTTATCGAGATGCTATAAATTACTTTATGTTTTCACAAAAATACAATTATCAAATTTTCAAATATGCATGGAAGTGAAAAATGACCTTCATATTTTTTTTCGAATTTTAAACACTTTGTGAAATGTAATAAATAAGATTGATAAGATAAATTCTTTTATAGTAAAACCATTTTTGCAACTATTATACTCTCTCCTCCATGAAATGCAAAAATGGTATAATTTTGTGAAGAAAAAACAAACAAGCATTATATTTGTTAGGGTATTTTTTGTATAAAGGCGGAATATATATATATATATATATATATATTTAGATATTTTCCATTCTATTTTCTGGTGATACACGCAAGTTTTACCAAAACTATATTTCTCTTTCTTTTCTCCCAATTAATTTATGTTTTATTAAAACTCACATTAATATCTTTTTTTGAAATAAACAGCAATGTTTAATAATTCTCTAGGAAATAAATTAAGTTGGTTATGTGAGCAAATCCTGTTAAACTCGAAGGGCATCACAGTAGATTTAATCACGTACCACTTACGTTCATTTCCCGGTGAACTTTTAAACATAGTTGTTTATCACATTATCACTTATATTTCAAATGAATTAACCCGGAGTAAAGCCGTTTAGGCTGCCGTATTGTTGTGGTTTTACGCACAATGACCTAGAAGTTGGATTGTCTTGAACATGAACTTTTAAGTGTTGTCAAATCGGACGATTTTTAGAAATCGATTCCTTGCTTCATCTTTTGATATAATTCAAATACTAAGTATGTGTCAACTTTTGAAAAAAGACAAAAGTACGACTGGTAGGAAGTAGATCAATACTGCAATTCTTTCGAGTGGGGTTTTGCATGAATTTTATCACAGATTGATTTTTTTTTAATTTTTCCCCAGAAAATATTGAATAAAGGAAAAAGTTTTACCTTTTATACCATAGTGTAAAAGTTCTTTATTAACACATTTTGAAAAGTGCCCAAAAGAATCATTTATTTGTAACCTGCATTACGGATTTGAAGTTTATCACATTTCAGAGAAAGACGAGCATAAATTGATAACCAACATACCGGAAAAAAACTGGACTAATGGGAATTCGATGGAGATAAAGAATAGCATACCACTTAAAGATCCATGCAAAAAGTACGATTCTACATCAACAACTAAAAGACTTTTTATAGCAATAATATGTTTAGTTTTAATATTCATCATTTTGATCGCTGCACATATTGTATTGTTTGTCAAGATGAAATAGAAATCACACAATGTTAAAAAAAAATGTGGAAGAAATAATGCCACCAGACATGTACCTCATGTATCGGAAAAGAATTTTAACCCATAGTATACATGTAATCATAATAATAATAATAAAGACACAAGGTATCAAACTCCCATATGCACTTAGTGTCCCCTCCTCAGTCGAGTTCATAGATGAAATGGTATATGTGTTAATTTCGGAAAAAGAATTTTATTGGCTAAAAATATGTTTTAATTATCACATTTGAAATATATCTTTATGTTTTATGTAACACGAAACATAAGCAAAATTTAATTATTTATTGTCCGATATATTTGAAATTACAATAAAGACAAACTCAGTTAAGTGCACACCTGAAATTTTATGGTAAAAACACTTCAAAAAAATTTCCTATCTGTAAACTCAAATTTGAAAGAATTATCCAGAAAGGGGAGGAAGAAAAGCATTCTATGCATATTATTAAGCCAAAACCTAACGGGGGGTATGTTGTTTTAAGTCAGAGCAGCGTGATTTGACGTCTTTTACAACTTTTGACTTTTGCAACTGTGATATTTCTGTTGTGAAAAAAATACCTTGATTTTTGCTAAAGGGCAAAATGATAAGCTGAAAATTTAACAAAATAAAGCGGCTTAGATCAGGAAAATATGTTTAAGTTTAACTTCAATTGTATTTTTTGATAAAATCAAGAATTGCTTCTTTTTAAATGTACTTTTAACTATATTTGCTTATTAATTAGTAGATTTAATTGTTAAGTCATTTCTAAGTTCTAATAGGTGTTGATTGTTGACGAGGAAGTGTGTGTGTGTGTGTGGGGGGGGGGGGGCGTAATGGGAAATGATTGGATTCGGGAAAAAAAGTTTAAATCGGTGTAAATTGTTATTAATCAAAACAAAAATTTGTTTACTGCAAAATTGTTTTATATTAAGATGTTCTCCAATGTTTTCTTACCTTTTTCCTAGTGCAGAAAAGTCAAATTTTATGACATACGAGTACGAAAATAAAAGAAAACTTCATATATCTCGTTTATTTTATCATAAAGGTATACCTTTCTCTTAATTTTAATTAAAAGATGATACATGTCTTAAAAATATACGAATTATAATATTTTCACAAAAAGACCTTTTAAGACATTACCTACTATGCATAATGAGATTGTAAAAAATACTAAAAAAAAAAAAAAAAA